CCCAGTGAGTGGGAAGTTTAAGTTAAGCTATCAATTTAAATTATTTCATGAACTTTAAAAATGTTAATTGTGTTGCACTCTTGGTTTCACTCTGAGCCAAAGCTCTGAGTTACTTATACCGTCCACCGCGAAAAATAATTGTTGAGCATTTCAGTCATGCTAAGAACCGCTTAACAATAACATACGGTATATCTACATATTTATTCTTGAAGTTACGTCATATTTTTTAATGGGGATGATAGTGTGATTAATTCCTTACAAGCTAGTGCAGAATATCCTACTTGCGAAATAAAATTTGGCATCAACATTATTCATGCCTGTTCTCCCATCATTTCAAAAGTGAATGTTGAGCTTTGCCTGTGTGCGCAGCTTTTCAAACGGGAGACAGACGAACACTCGAACAAACACCACGGTTCACAATATATATATAAGGTGTTTGTTATTTATAGAAATCATCCTCAGAATCTAACAATAAAAAGCGCTTTAAGAATGTGTTAGTCGACTTGATTCACACTTGTAACAGATAACGTTTAAAGATATAAACACATGTATGCGTCTGAAAATGCCTTTATTTTTAAAATATACACTATAGTGTATACATTGATAAAACTTAAGTCTGGTTGACAGATTATAAAAGTTTTTATCAAACATTGTTTTTCACGATAAATACTTCAAATACATTAAAAATAACAATCAAAGGCACTTTTGTAAGTTAAAATTAAAAATACAGAAATCTTGTGTAATATCACATATTATTAACGTATACTACACAACCGACTAAATTATGTGACCATTTCGAAACTGCAAAACCTAAAAATAAAAAAAATACGAGAACAATAATTACAAAAATTTGAATTTGTTGTGTTTTGTCCTTTGAAGATTCTACCTACTTAACCACCAGATGGTAGTCCTGTCGTAAACCTATCACGAAACACACACACACACACACAAGCATTTTATCCTTGTAGGCCTAAAATCAGAATTGAATAATTTTCGCTAAATTAACAATATTAACAGTCATTCAGCTACATAAGATAAACCAATCACAAATTGTTTTTAGTTAATTAAATGGTATACAGTGGCGTGAGTATGTGCCCGCAATTGCCGAGCCAAAAGGGGGCCTGACAATCTTAAGAATTGCCGCCAAGGAGAATAAATAAAGGGGGCCCAATCACTTTTTAAACGATGTGGGCCCATCTATTGTAGTTACGCCACTGATGGTATATTAAATTCATTTCAGTTAATGGGTATATTAAACACATAATCATATATACCTACTTTTTTAAAATAGAAGCTAGCCTGACAATTTATTTTGCGATCTTGTTAAAAAATATGAAAATTTATTAAATATTTCGTAATGCCTCTTTGCAGTCACACTTACATATACCAGTAAAGGATAAAGTGATCAGAAAGGTGTTACACAACGAGCGAAATTCACCCTTTCTGCAGTCACACTTACATATACCAGTAAAGGATAAAGTGATCAG